TGGCCCCAAAAAACAAAAAAAAAAAAAAAAAAAAAAAAGCCACAGGTGGTCTCGGGGTACAAACCCCAGACTTGTGGATATGTAAACCTATATTGCTTGAGACCAAGGCTGCAACTAAAGGCCATGCACATGACCCAGGCAAGCATGGTCATTTACTTATGTCCAATTCCAGAGACCCTTGGCCCAGGATGGCCCCAACTCCATTCATAGCTCTCCATTTGCTGTCTATTTCAATCCACCAGTTCAGAGGGCGGTGTGTGTGTGTGTGTGTGTGTGTGTGTGTGTGTGTGTGTGTGTGTGTGTGTGTCTGTATGGTGACTTGCACTCTCTAGGATCCTGGGTCAAGAGTCCACTTGGAGGAAAATCTAGGGTCTTATTGCTGGATCCTGCAGACAGACTCGGCTTTGTCTCCTAGGTGCCTGAAAACACCCTCAACTCTAGAACCTACTGAGTGTGCCTGAAACAGTATGACTGCCTCTGGGGCACAATGGCAAGGAGGCCTCCAGACCTCTAATACCCCTTATTTAAGAGCATTCTAGGGGTAAACTTAAGAGCACTGGCTGCTCTTCCAGAGGACCCAAGTTCAATTGCCAGTTCCAAACGGCAGCTCACAACATCTGCAACTCTAGTCCCAGGGAATCTGGTTTTGTTTTTGTTTTTGTTTTTTTTTTTTTGAGACAGCTTTTCTCTGTGTAACAGTGGCTGTCCTGGAACTCACTTTGTAGACCAGGCTGGCCTCAGACTCACTGAGATCCACCTGCCTCTGCCTCCCAAGTGCTGAGATTAAAGGCATGCACCAACACTGCCTGGCTTGATACCCTTTTGTTTTGACCTCCACAGGTACCAGGCACACAGGTGGTACACAGACATACATGCCAACTAAACACTCACATGCATAAATTAAAAGACTATCTTACACATCACCTCTTACACATCTTATTCCCCATAAAAAAATTAAACTTTAAATATAAAATGATTCTAGGTCACACTCCCCAGGCTCTGTAACTTTCCAGTTACAGATGAGGGAACAGCAACTGAGAGGAAGTAACTTGCCTAAAGGCAGCCTGGATGAGGTGGGCGGGGTCAGGAGACTGACCTACCTTCTGCCACTCTCTCTCTGAGAATCCCTAGCTGGTACCCCTCTCCTCCAAGAGGACCCTGCTCTGCCTGCTGCCAAAGACATCTCTGAATGGTGGGTGAAGCTGAATATACTGGAATGAGGTCGTGGCTTTTCTCCCGAGCACAGCAGCTCTGCCAGCTGTCCTCCGTTTCTATTCTGTGCCCCTCATAAGCCTCCTCAGACCTAGAAGGTATAACCCACTCAAGAAGAAGCACATGTCTGAAACAAAGTGTGGTGCAAGAAGCAAAGAGCAAGGGCAACCTCAGGCCTCATTAAGAGACTAGGTTAGGGAGAAGTCAGTGGCTTTAGTCATAGACAGGAAGATTTCACACACCCTTCAAGACCTCGTCTTAGACTGCGCCCAGCCCCGTCTAAGATTCCAAAGCTTTGCTCAGAACCTGGAGCAGCATCCTGGCTCCAGCCCAATGGGGACAGTCCTGTGGTTCACTAACCAATCTCCATCCCAGGTTTCTCCATGCAAGTTCACTCCCCACAGGCCACCACACCAAGGCCCGACTGCTAGGGCCTGCTTGTTTAGGCTTACAGATGTAGCTCACCAGCTCTAACTCACCAAATAGCTGCAGCTTGTCGGCTCCCAGGAGCAGAGAATGAATGGAATGTTCCCAGCCAGGAGGGGGTGGGAGGGGGTAAGGCGTGGGCGTGGGAGGAGCTACATCTCAGCACAGCTGAAACCTAACCAGCCACCCTCTTTTAAATGTGGTTGTGCCAGCCTCCGCCCCTGACCTCCACTGGTGAGCTTAAGGCTTGAACCTGGAGCTAACTAGCTAGGAAACCTCTCTACTCTTACTCTGGACCCATAATGGCACCATCTCCAACTGCCCTCCATGGGCCTCCCTAGGAGATCTGCCAGGTGGGCTTCTCTCCATTAATCTCAGGCAAGTGACTGGCCACCTCCTCCCTATGCTTGGAGTTCACACTCTGGGAAGCTCATGCACAGGGCCATAGAGTAGGCAGAGGAAAACTGTTCCCAGGCATCTGGACACCAGTAACTAGACTGAGCCCTAGGCCCATACACCTGAGGGAAAGCCTGATTATAAAACTGGATCAGAAGGCTGGGGTATAGCTCAGTGGCTGAACACTTGCCTATCATGTATAAAGTTTTGGCTTCCATCTTCAGCACTCCTACACACCCAGATATCAAGTTAGTAGGATAAGGAAGCTCCAGTCCCAGTGTCTTCTGGGTGATAAAAGGAACCTGGATTGTATTCTATAGGTGGCAGCTCCCTTCTACTTCCTGGACAAACAAGGCCTTGAGTGACCTGCCAGGCCAGGCCCAGGAGCAAAGAGCACCTGACCTCGATAGTGCTCTAGCAGTACAAGCAGGAGGCGCCAGGCACAGCCAGCTAAAGCTTCCTGCCACTGATGTTCCTGGAATGGGAGGGCAAGCCAGGAACTTCCTGTTTTGGATTAAATCCAGGACCCCTGTTTGCCTGGCTGGTGGGGATTTCCTCAGGGATACCAGTTAGCTTCCCTCCTCCTGAAGTTTGGAGGTACACTTCCAAGAAGCTCAAGAAGACACATATATAGAGGTACAGCCTCAGGACCCCACGATGGATGATTTTCAGCATTTTGGGGATTATTGCACTCCCTCACTCACCAAGGCTTCAGTGGTCTCAGTCTCTGTTTTAGGCTGGCATCAGGACTCTGTAGGAGAGAGATGGATAGCAGTCACTCTACTCCACCTATCTCTCTCTTCTCATTCTCGGTATGACCCTCCTTTATACAGTCCCAGGCATCTAGCCCAGCTTCTAAAGCAAGCACATTCACCTGCTCTTTGCAAGTCATGCTACTTTCTCTTCTGCTCAGAAGCAGGCAACTTCTTTTCACTGTCAGTCTATGGTACTATCTGCTCTTTAAAACTACCTACATAACCAGTCAGTGGTGTCACACACCTGTAATCCCAGGACTCAGGGCAGAAGCAGGCGGATCTCTGAGTTAGAGGCCAGCCATGGTCTACAAAAGTGAGTTCCAGGACAGGCACGGCTATACAGAGAAATCCTGTCTCAAACAAACACACACACAAACAAACAAAAACCCAAAACACTATATGCATAACTGCTTTCTTGAAAAACAGACATACCCACAACAGGGCAATTCTACTTACTAGCTGGGTGACCTTGGGCAAGTTAACTTCTCTGTGCCTCATTTCCCCATCTGCAAAATGGACACAGTAATAGTAAATTAACCCAAGGCATTGTAAGGATTTAATGAATTCATTCATGAAAAGCCCGAGTGTGTTAGTTACACTGTAGCACTCAGCAGCTCTCCCGAAGGTATTCCTTCTCCTAGAAGCAGTCCTTGTGGGCCCAGAGGGAAGTAAAGACCAAGAGTACTTCTTAGCAGGTTTGTTGGGGGAAACAACTTGGCAACTCATCCAGCTGCCAGTCAGAGGATACTCCAGGGAAAATGCATGGGAAAGGGCTACACCAATGTACCAAGATCCCACATCACCCAGTTCTACCAATGTGCTAGCTCCTGGGTTCTCAAAGCCCTCAACCCAATCTGAAAACTGAGGGGAACTTCAGGGCCAAGGAGGAAAGAACACCCAGCCATAGTTCAGACACTAAGCCTGTCCTTAGCCTTGCTGGCCCAACTGGCTACACTTCTAGGTACTGTCCACCTCCAACTCTACAAGACTCTCTCCTTGCCCTGTGTAGCTGTTTTCTATGGTCCCCCTAGCCCATACTCTCAGATAGCTGGTCCAGGCTTGGACCTATGGCGAGTCCAAGTAGTCCATCACATCCTACATTGCAGTGCCCTCGGCCCTTAACCTGGTCAAGAGGTTGAATGGGGCAGAGGATATCTTTTTGCCCTAATACTCAGCACAGTCTTTGTGACCTGAGCCAACAAACTGGTCTTTTGACACAGCAGCCAAACCACAGGACAGAATCAGTCCCATGAGAATTCTGGAACCCAGCGGGCATTGACTGCAGCTAGCAGAAGCCTTGTCCCACTGCTGCATGCGGACATGCCCACCTGCAGCCTCTGTGCCTGGGCCAGCTCTAGCTTCTTCTGGCCTGTCCTCTAGTTCTAATTCTCACAGCAGATCATCTAGGTTCCAGTTCTCTACTGGGGGTAGGAGGGGGTGTCTCCTGAAGACAAGGCCAAAGGAGGATGACTTATTCTAAGCAACTGTCATACATACTTCAGAAGGGTTTGATGAGCCAGCCACCCACTGACCAATTAGGGCCCACCACTAAGGCCAGCTACCTACCTCCTCCTCTATCAGGATCCAAGCTAACATTTCTTAGATATAAAAATGCCATCATTACTACCCTCTAGGCCACCAAGCCCTAGGCTGATGCTCCCAACCAGTCACCTGTCTCTCAGGATTGGCCCCTCCCCAATAGCCCAGACAAAGAACTCTGCCTCAGCACTGTAGGGCTTCAAGAGCATTACTCTCATTCAAATCTAGCGCTGCCTCTTTCCGGCAGATTGACATGGACTATTTACAAAGGCGCTCTGTGCAGTTTCCCCATATGTAGGTATGATAATAATAACCACTTCAGGGAGCTGGGCAACTATTTACCCTCCAGCAACCTGACAAGTCACTCATCCTCTATGATCTTCACCACCAGGGAGCTCTCTGTGGGCCAGGTCTGACCCAGGGATGAGGCTTGGGGGTGGGGGTGGGGCACCAATGGGAATACAGTGTTGAAGGATGAGAGCACAGACAGCCACTGCCAGCTCCCAGGTCTGGAACTTAACCGCCTCTCTTCAGCCAGAATTCTTAGGGTGAGCACATCCTGGACTGTTTGAGAAGCAAAAAAAGCCCCTCCTCAGCTGGATGCCGACACTTCCCTATTCGGGTTCCTCTTCTCCAGGATTGACGTGTAGCCAGTTCCATGGCGGGGGGGGGGGGGTGGGGGCCAGATGGACACGACACAACCAGCTGAGTTCCCTAACTCTAACTCTAGAACAGCCTCGCTGGGCAGGGTTAGATAGAGTTGGGGTTCGTGTTTTTAGTATGAG